GCGTCCCCTCCGAGTTTCTTTAGTCGTAAAAGGAAACAAAAAGGGATCTTGTGTGGAGGCAGCGTATGGGGAAAGCTGTAGGCTGGCTGCCAGCGATGGATGGCGAGAGAAAAGGCCTCGCAGCGCAGCGTCCCCTCCTGTTCCTACCGCGGCCTTTCTGCTGCAACGGCAGGGGCTTATTGGGGTAGCTGTGGTGGGCTGCGGGGCGTCATCTGGGGCCATGGTGCGGACCGAGCTTGTGCTTTTCTGACTGCGCTTTCCCCCAGCTGCTGATACCGCGTTTGCCTGCCCCACGCGTTTGTGGGGCTGCCTGGAAGCAGAGGGTGCTTTTGCAGTCACGGATTGGGCCCAGGCAGGGCAAGCAGTTAGCTGAAATACTCCGCTCCCTGCCTTTGCCCTCCTGGAGGACCTGCCTCGCACAGGAGATTTTTTCCGTCGTCTTGGCTGTTCCTTATTGCGGGCATTCCTGAAAGTTAATCAGGGTGAAAATTGCAGTCAGTCATGTCTGGAAGCCACCAGAGGCTGATCCTGGAGCGCCGCAGACTTGAGCACATGGGTATGAGACAGTCTTTCTACGTGTGGGCTGGTTGCATTGTTGCCAGGAGAGAAGCTTTCTCCTGCGTCTTGCTGCCCTTGGGCGTTAAATCATTCCCTGATTTGGTTTCCTGGCCTCCGATTCCACTACAAAAAGTCAAAGCGATGCAGATTTCTTGGATTTGCTGAGGAGCATCCTGTGTATATTTTAGCACAAAGAGCTGGGGCTCATGCGGTTTCCTAGCTCTCTGCTTGGTGCTTTTTGAAGTGCTCCCTGGCTCTGTTTGAATAGCTTTCTCTAGGTGTGTTTGCAGTTGGCTGCTAGCTCCGAAAGTGAACTTTCAGGTTTGTCTCTAATATGCTGGCTCCTTCCCAGTGCGTAGATGTGGATTGTAGAGGTCTCGGCACCTAATGGAGCTGAATTATTCATGTCTGGTGCCGCATGTGCGCAGCATTCCCAAGCAGAAAGCTGTCTCCTTGTAGGATCTGAGCTCCAGGACTGCTCTTAAAATGCTTTGTTGGCAGGTCTCCAGGCCAACAAGTGAGCACATGCTTTTCATGTTGTGCAGGGATCAATCCTGCAATGGCAGGAGGTAAGGGGAAGGACAAAGTTTATAGCTGAATCAATCTCTTCACTCTATTTTGTGAGATACCGTGATTTGCGGTGGCGTTACTCTCATGTTAGAAGAGCGCAGAGGATCTGAATAGCACCCAGCACCTGCAGTCCTTCAGGAATTGGAGGGTTGTGCAAAACGGATGGGGGGGGAAGTGACCCCCTCCTGTCAGCTGCGGACTGTGGTAGCCAGAGGTTCCTCTACGTGCTGCTCGCCCTGCGCAAAATGGGGATGGTGCTGCAGGTTGGGACCTGGGAGGTCTTGCTAGTGAGAGCATTGCCCTCCGGAGAGGGCTCTCATCCAGGGGCAGAGGTCGAGCATGTGAGGGTAGGTCTTTGGAGAACAGAAAGTGGGAATTAAGCCAGGAATTTGCAGCGGAGGGCTGGGGGGGAGTATTTGATGCTGAGCTGTGGGAAATGCTTTAGACCTATGTGCCCAGGATGACCCCAGAATTGCTTACGGGGTCATAGCCTTCTGCCCCAGGCTGGAAAGGGCTAATCTCTCACCTGGTCCCTCTTCCCATAGCAGCGGTGAGCAACACGTCCTGAGCTCCCTGCCGCTTGCCTCCTGCCTTGCTCTTAGCACCTCTCTGCCTTTCCTCCTCTCTTGCAAATGCAGCCTGTTCTTGTTTGTCCTGTTTGTGGTTCTCTTACTGTCTCCCTGCGTTAGCGGACCTCAGTCTCCCTTGACGCCTCCTCCGTAGGGTGAATGTAATTTCCTCTTGTTTTCTAAACCTTTGATTGCTCCAGTCTCTCCCATCTCTGGGGACCCAGTGGACTTCTGGGCTCCTTTTTTTTTCTTTTGTTGTGGGAGGAATTGGCAAATGTTGATGGCTGCTGAGCCGTTTGCGTAGTTTCAGACCAAAGTCCTGCTCATCTACTCCCCTTATTTATTTATTTGTATATGTGTGTATGTATATATAGTGTGTGTGTGTATGTATCATATATATTTATGTACATAGACACTTCAAAAAAAAAAAAAAGAAAAAAGAGCTCCCTGACGTGAGCTGAGAGAAGGCCAAGCCCATGCTATCGGCAGTCACAGTGCAGGCGGAGGAGTTGCACAGTATGACTGATGCTGTTCCTGTTGCAATATAGCTATGTAGATTTTTATATAACATTCTTCAGACCATTAGGCCCTACCTTTACCTTCTTGTCCTTGTAATTTGAACCGGATGCGGCTCTTCATATGCTCCAGCCTTGGCAGGGAGAGTAGTCGTAGGCAGCTCCCCTACAGAGGGGAGCCTCATTGAGGTTGGGCTTCATCATCTTCCAGTAGTTCCTCTGTGTTGGCCGTACACAGCAAAACCATGCTACCGCGTCCTCTTTGCATGTGTCTTGCTAGGTCTGTTTTTAGCGTGCTGCAGCTGGATACCATGCCTCTGTCTTTGGGCTGATCCGTTCTCTGGGAGGGGACTATTACAGGCTAAAAATCTGGGCCATCCAACTCATTATCGGCTTTGCCCATCTGGACAAAGGAATCACTGAGGATCCGTGGCACAAAGGAAGCCCAGAGCGCTCTGGAGCTCCTGGCCGGGAGCTTGCCGCAGAAACACACGGCCGCTGGGGCAGTTTGCGCCGCGTCGGATGCAGCGCGTGGCCCTCGTTTCCCCGAGGAGCGGTGGGGAAAGTGGAACGAAGCGATCCTCGGGCACCTCTGTCCTTCCCCAGGCCTGCCCGTGCAGGGTGCAATCCGTCCACCTGATCTTGGGCTTTCTGCATTCGTTCCTTTAGCTGTTGGGAAAGGTCCCTCGAGGAAGGGGGCTCCGGAGAGGCAGGGAGATGGGAAGCAGCCGGTGGGATAGGGCTGGAAACACTGCCTGCTCTGTCTGCCTCAGGCTAGGAAGTGACCGCTCGAGGGAGCGGGTGCCCGGGCGAGAGGAACGTGCGGGGTGGCTTTGGGAAGCCGTTAGCGATTCCAGTGCACAGCGCGATCTCCTGATTCTGCACTTTCTCCGTCGCTGAAAAGAGAGGTCAGTGCTTTTCATTTCCAGCTTGCATGCTAGCCCCTGGCTCCTGGGGTTAAAAATCTCCGTAATGACCTGTCAGAGAGTGGATTATTAGCTGTACAGAGCTGGGGATGCTGTGGGGAGCAGATGGAAAATGGTCTGGCTGCTGCAGCCTGTCTGATGAAAGAATCCTTGGCATTTTTACAGTGTTTGCATCTCTGGAAACGCACCACGAAGCTGCTTTCCAGGCTCCTGCCTGCTGGGATTTGAAGAAATTTGTGTGTGTGTGTGTTTTTTTTTCTTTTCTTTTTTTTTCCCCCCCTTCCCCTTCTTTAAGCCACCTGTTTTTTGAAGTGTTGCTTGTAAATAGTAACAGGAATCATCAGGCCTTGAGCTCGGCAGGGTAGGGGAGGACAATGGTGCTTGAGAGGAGCTTCATCCAAATGGGTGGTCAAGGATTTCTTAAGAGAGCTGGAGAACGGGTGGCTGTGTGACTGGGGCTGAGTAGCTGGCCGGGTGGCTGCTGGGAAGAAGCTGTTTCATGTGTTAATTATGTCTCATAAATGTAATTGCCACTAGCTAATTTCCGTGAGTGACTCTGGCGCTTTTTCGGTTTGTGTGTGGGTTTCTTTTTTGTTTTCTTTATCCCGTGGCTGCCTCCAGGGAAGAGGCAGCGTACAATACATCTGAGAGCCTGCCCTGCTTTGTAGTGAGGGCGAGTGACCGGGAAGCCTAGAGAAGAAATTCTGGGCCGATTGGGGTCTGCTATGATGGGAGCAGGGTATGATCAGTCCCCCCCTCGTACCTACGATTCTGCCTGCTGTTTTAAGATCAGGTACCTGTGCAGTTTTGCTGCTGCCACTCATCCCGGCCTCGATTCCCCATCGTTTTAGCTTGCTGTTCATTCAGTTGTGTTGCAGCGGTTTAGTGCTGTGGCCAAATTGTCCTAAAGCGAGGGTCTGTGTTTTGTTCTTTCAGCGCAAGCCTGAGACGAGCGCTAGACTTGCGAGACTGGTGCCTTCCTCTCTGAATTGGCCTTCAGTGACTGCTCTGCCGCTTCCAAGTGCTGGTCATGTTGCAGACACTCTGAAGCTGGGATTTATTTCCCACCAAGGCACTAAACTTCCCTGGCAAGTGGCTCTAGTCCCTTCCAGCGAGGCTTACTAGGAGAGGAGGCCCACCCCAAGCCACCCCTGGCTGTGGGTGGCATAAGCAGGAGAGGAATCAATCCTCCATCCCAGGGGCAGCGCTCAGGGAGCGCTCAATAATTCAGAGGGAAATGGCGAGCGGGGAATGTGTGAGTAATGTCTTGTTGGAGCTGAGAGCTGTGACCTGCCAGGGCCTGTATTGATTGAGGGACTCATGCCAGATGGCTTCTGCTGCAGGGACAGCCAAGGAGGTTGCTGAAGATCCCTGAGCTGGGATGCTGTGGGGACACAGGCACTTGGATTGCGAAGGCAGCAGGCTGAGCGAAGGCTGCAGTGCTGCCTTAGATGTAGAGGTCAGGCTGGGGTCTGGTGCAGGTTTTGGGAGATCTGGGGGTTTCATCCCGTCAGGGCAGTGGGATATTGCGCTTTGCTGAGAGCAGCAGGTCTCAGCATGTGCGAATTGACTTCAGTCTTGGAAATCTTGCAAGTTAATGTGATTGGTCCCTGTGGAGCAGGGGAAAAGTGGGAGCACAGTTTGAGGAAGGACCTGGCGCGTATCTGCCATGCAAGGACAACTGAATCTGGGTCCTCTCTTAGCGCGTGAGTGCAGGCCTCTTCTGCCTGCGTGTGTGTGTACTAACAAGGGCAGGTCAGCAGCAATGGTGGAAGCGCATTTGCCTCTCTAGAAAAGTTATCAGATGCGTCTGGGGCTGTTTGCGTGTAACACTCTTCTCTTTGCTCTCCCTTGCAGCAGCGATGCCGTCACCTGGGCAGATCCCGACCCCTGGAAGCCCGAGGACATAGGTGCAGCTGCTGCTGTGGACCCAAAGGGTGTGGAGGCAAGGAAGAGCCTTGAACCGTGAGGGGGCCGTTAACTCTAAGATGTCCTTGAGCAGCGGAGCTTCCGGAGGGAAAGGAATCGATGCGAACCCAGTTGAAACGTACGACAGTGGGGATGAATGGGACATTGGAGTAGGGAATCTCATCATTGACCTGGACGCTGATTTGGAGAAGGATCAGCAGAAATTGGAAATGTCGGGCTCCAAAGAGGTGGGGCTTCCAGCACCCAATGCGGTGGCTACCCTGCCTGATAACATCAAGTTTGTGAGCCCAGTGCCAGGCCCACAGGGCAAGGAGGGCAAGTCCAAGTCGAAAAGGAGCAAGAGTGGCAAGGACAGTGGCAAGCCAACCCCGGGGACCTCCTTGTTCACTCCCAGCGAGGGAGCGGGTGGCAAGAAGGAGGCTCAAGGACGCTCTGGGGACAGCGCGAACTCTGGTGGCTTGGTGCCTGCCGTCACCCCGAAGGGCTCGGAGAAATCGGCCAAGGCATCTCGCAGTGTGGCTGGCTCCAAGAAAGAGAAGGAGGGCAGTTCATCGAAAAGCAAGAAGGAAAGGAGTGAGGGTGCGGGGGCTCCATCGGAGAAGGAGCCCAATGTACTGCAGCCCCTCGCCCTGGCTGTGAGGGTGGGACAGTATGATGGGGGCCAGGGGACAGAGCCTGCTGCTGCCGAGCAGCTTGGGAGTATAGCTATTGACACAGGAGCTGCACTCAACCCCTTGGGAGTTAAGTCGGAACTGGAGGATGGGGAAAGTGAGTGCCGGCAGCTGAAAAAGGTCAAATCAGAGAAGGTAAGCGAGATGGCTGGGTTGTTGGCGGGTGGAGGCAGAGTGTTGCCACTTGGCTCTGGCAGCTGCTCCAGCTCCCTGCTTTGGGACATGCTGCTCTGCACGGCAAGAGAGTGGGATGTTACGCTGGGATGGCATGTCTTTGGAAGTGGGAGGCAGTTTGCAGCACCCTTGGGTGCTAACAGTAATTTATGTGGCGGGTTCTTTCTCATGCTGACATGAAGATGACTTGGTAGTGCAACGTGCTGGGGTCTGGAAGTGGTGATGGGAAGGCTCTGTGTAAGCAGAGCGTGGCTTCTGGGGGACCCATACCAGCCAATTGAATTGTGTCATTGTTCTTCTAGGTACAATCCTATCGTAACCTAGCAGATACGGTTTCTTCAGTCCCTCGCTTCATGGCTGCTGAGTTGTGAGGGTTCAAGTGTTAGGAATCTCTGGCAGGAATGGAGCGTACCTGCAGAGCACCTGAAGCGATACCCAAGCCCGCTGGGAGCCACGGCACATGATAGTTTTGCATGGCACCCTTAGGAGGAAGGCAAAGTGGCACTGAGGGCTCTCAGGAGAGGCAGCGGAGGAAGGGGACCTGTATGTTGAGATGGTGAAAAGCTCTGAGCAGAGGGCTGGTGGCCTGGGCTCTGCTGCAGTTGTGCTGTGCGGGGTCTGTGCCTCTCCGATTTCTGCTGCCCTGCAGGAAGAGTCCAGGCTAGCAGTGAAGACAAGGTGCTGGCCCCAGGTAGACAGGGACCTGTTTCTGTGTTATCTCTAGCTCCTGGCAGAACAGGGCAAAGCAGGTCTCTGATTCATTGGCTACCACGCTCTGCTTCACGTTGGCCTCATCTTTTGCATCAGTGATCCCTGTAGCTCCCAGGGGAATTTATTTTTCTATAGTTGCATCCTTTGCAGAGAAGGAGACCTTAATGTGTTAGTAAATGTGGGATCTGCGTGGATGTACAAGCAAGTACAAGGTGCAGGGATGACAGAAGGTACTGCCTTGCTTCTTGGTCTGCTGTTGGTACGTGGGCTTTGTCCCACTTATACTGACAATCGGCCTTGGGCTATGGAGTTGCTGTGGGTGTTCTTGTGTTGCTCCTCTGTGAACTTAAGAGCAACGTGAGGCAGTGCTGATGGCTCGTGGTGAGCCTGTACTGCAGTTGGACAGGAGCGGCTTACAAATGCCCTCCTCTCCCCCAGGTCGCTGGGGGTGTGAAAAGTCTGGCCGCTCCCGCCGGTGGAGCGTGACTGGTCCTGCAGCCAGTTGTCTTAGCGCTGGACGGCAGATGAGGGTAAATGGCTGTCTTTCTCAGGAGCAGGTTGAGTGTTCCTGCACTGGGTGACTGTGGAGCAGAGCAGTGGAGCAGTTTCTTTCTGTGGCTGCTGGAGCGGCAGCTTGGTTGACTTCTCTCTCGTAATTGCAGTGGCTGACGTGAGTTTTTGCTAGCGAGTGTGGATGAGGGAACCCACAGTGCGCCTGAATCTGTTCAGACGTGGCTAGAGAAGCTCCTCCAACCCCCATGTTCCCCTTGCTGCCCTATGCCTTGGTGTGCATGTGTGGTGTTGCTGATGTGGGCCCGTGAATCTGAAGTGTCCAAGTGTTAACTATGTGCCCGTGGATCAGGGAAGAAGGGTGCATGGAGCAGGCTTGGCTTTCTATCTGGGTGTGTGGAAGTTGATGCATGCATGGTGAACACTGTGAGCATCCGGAATAGCTTCGCTCTATTGCTGCAGTATGGGGAGGAAGGACTGTGGGAACTGCAGGGATATCAGATGTGCGCTGGGGTGTTTGTCTAGCTGCAGCCAGTGGCTCCCCATCTGCATACCCCATCTTTGTTTCTGGCACCAGGATTTTGGCTGTTGGGAGCCAGGAAGGGATTAGCGTGGAGTGAGGATGGGCAGCACTCAGTGGATTTGGGACAGTTGCTGAGAGTCCAATGAGATGTTGGGAAGCAGGCTGCTTAGGGTGAAAATAACTTTGCTGCAGTCCATGAAGCTAGAACGAAGTTTGGCCTTTTGGTCATGGGAGTTGAGAGACAAGTAAATACAGAGAAAAATGCTGGGCTTGTGCCCTCTGCTTTGATAAGGCATCTAAAGCTTTTCTTCTCAACAGGCTTTCATAGCAGTGTTCACTAAGGATGCAGCCCTGGCATCCGCTTATAGAAGGTTATCCTGATGGGCAGCCATAAAAGCATGTCCCTTCCAGCAGCTGTATGCCTTTCCAAACTGGTAAAATGATGTTTCTATCTCCAAAAGGATAATGTAGAACATGAAAATATAGAGAGAAGGCTGATGAGGATGATCGCTTACGGAATGGCTCTGTGAGAGCTACTAAGTAGGACAGTGCTCTTCAGCTTGGGAAAAATACTCCTGGGGCAGTTGGTTGAAGCCTGTAAAATCAAGGAGTGCCGTGGAGAAGATGCGTTGTTTCGTTGCCCTTTCTAGCGGGAGAACAAGGGTGCATTGAATGAAACTGGGAAAAGGAGCAGATGCTTTTTTTGCATGATGAGTTTGTGGAATTCCCTGCTGCAAAGAGGTACGGATGCTGAAAGCTGTCCGCAGCTCCGGGGGCACCTGGATGGGTTCATAGAGGAGGAACCCATTGAGGACTCTTGCAGGGCAGCATCTGTGACTTTAGAAGATCTGTGAAGGGGGGGTGGAGCTCGGGAAGTAATTGGAGGAAATATCACAGCATGCTTGTCTGTATTGTACTTCTTCACTGCCATGAGCTGCTGGCCCCTGTCAGAGCCAGCATGTGAGCTGGCTGGACCTTTGGTTCTTGTTCAGTATGGCCTTTCCTGTATTTTAATGTTACAGACTTATTTCTTTCACCGATTCAGCTGCAGAAACCCTCTACAGCATCTGCTGGTTTACTGAAATGCCAAAATAAGATACAAATTATGAGGGGAAGGGGGAACAAATATTTCTGTACAGTTATCCCATGGGAACAAGTTCTGCCATTTCATTTATACTCATTCTGGTAAGATCACGTAGATGAAGGGCGCAACCTGAAGGGTTTGAGCCCTGTTTTTATAAGTGACTTAAGTGTCTGGATCTGAAGGGAAGCATGCAGGGTTTGGGCCCAGTCAGGAAATGTTGGTTGTATTTCCTTGGTCTACTGGCTGTATGGTTGCCCTGTGAAGCATTAAATAGCTTGATCCGAGCTGGCAAAGCCAAGGGTTGAGGAGAAGAAAGGTGCTTTTAGCAGCAGGCTGTTGCAAGACTGATGTCTGCATGGTGAAGTGGGGGGAAACCAGTTTTATTTCTTGGGAGGCTCAGAGGGCAGGGTGGAGGATGGAGGGGCCAGCTCCTGGTATGCAGAGTCTGGAGGAGAAAGCAAAGCGCGAAGGCGAAGCTACATGCTGCTTGTGGGCGGGCAGCTCCTCCAGGGAAGGCGGCAGGAGGATGAAGGCGGCAGCAGGTTCCTGCAGGCCTGGGGGCAAACCCTGCTGGGAAGCGAGCAGCTCGCTCAGACTGAAACAGGAAGGGCCACAAAGTGACTCAGTCCCAACCTTTGCTCTCTCACAGCCTGTCCTCTGCTTAACCCTGTGTTGCTCCTGGTGATATTTTGCCCGCGGTGCCTTGGGCAGTGAAGCTAGTTTCTCTCTGTTGATGAAGAGAGGGAAAGACCCGCTCTTCCTCTGCTTCTTTCAGCTCCCAGTAAAGAACTTGCCTGGGCCATACTTGTGTGCTGAGCAGTCAGCTTCCAGCCAGGAGGTTTTGTTATACTGTCTTGGCTGGACTAAAGAGCCCTTTAGTATCTAGCACTTTTCCTTGACAAGGTACTTCTGTGCCGTAGTCGGATCACCTTTTGTCCCTCCTCCCTCTTGTGCTCTTTACGTCGCTCACTGTAGAGTTTTTGCAGCCCTCAAGTCCTTGTTGGGTGTAGACGAGAGCTTTTCTTCAGGCTATCAATGTCGTTTCACAACCGCAAATGCTGGAGCTGGTGCGCGCGCGCTGGCGCGCCGTATCTGCAGGTAGAATCACCCTCCCGCTCACTGCTGCGTTTGCATGATGCAGTGGTGCAGCCCGGGGCCGTGACTCGGTGGGAGCCTGCGCGGAGATGTTTCGCTGGTGCAGCCAGATGTCTCGTGTGGTTGCTGTGCTTCCCAGGGTACAGTCTCAACGCTCTACTGTGTGTCCCTCCCCAACAGCCCAAATGCTTTCTTTTTAAGGTGTGTAACTTGGTGCTTAGCTGCGTTCGCGCCTCCGTTGTGGAGTGTCCTGCGCCTGTTACGTACCCCTCCTCTGGCCTTGACGTTATCGTGAGTGATGACTTTGGCAGGGGGGATTGGGAATAACCCCTGCTGAGGGCATTGCCCTTTGCTTCCTGGGGTCTGCCGGCCGACACGAGGGCCGGGTGCTCTGCTGGCGTTTGTCCAGCGCTGTATTTTGTCCGGATGCAGTTCAGCATCGAGTAAATGCCCTGAGCAGCTTGCTGCTTGTGTGTAGCTGCTTCTGTCACCCCAAACCACCATGTCCTCCAAGGATACTTGTGGGGACAGGATTGGGGACTTGATACTTCTTGTAGCGGAGAGTGAAATAAGCCTGCACTGATTTGCCCGCGTCCAGTGTGTTAGTGCAGGCTAGCAATGGTGTCGGGCCTCGAATCCTCCCTCGTAGCAAGCCTCGGGCCTGCTGTGCTCAGTACTGCCAGGACAATTGCTGGGGCTCATGCTGGGCTAGCGTTTGGGAGAAAAAGGATGTTTTTCGGGGAGAGGCTGTGCTCAGCAAAATGGCTGTGCATGGGGACACGTTCCTGCCAGGCTCAAGGCTGGGGGGGGGATAAGCCCGTTTTCTGCATGAGCTGGAGGATGCAGCCCGTTCTGCGAGTTGCTTCCGGCCGTGTTGCAGGGATGAGCCGCGACTGGGTTTCTGCGAGGCACCGAGGCGAGATTGCCCCCCGCCGCAGAGCGCCTTCCTTCCGCAGGGCGCCAGCAGCGGCTGTCAGGGTAGCAGAGGATGAGCCCGGCGTGTGCTTGTTGCTGCCCTTCTGGCTGGAAAGGGCAGGC